TGTTGGATGGAGTGTTATATGTGTAGATTAGATCCAGTTGACTGATGATATTTTTTCAGTTATTTCATCTCCTTGCTAATTTTCAATCTCTAGTTCTATTACTGAGGTAAATGGTTTCTGATCAAAAATCTGCAGTCATTTGAAATGTTGTTCCTCTATACGTAATACATTTTTTCCTTTGGCTGCTTTCAAGTTTTTTGTTTTTTTTTTTTTTTTTTTTAGTCTTTAGTTTTCAATAGTGTGATTATGAATTGCAGTTTATGCTGTTCAGGTTTGAATTAGTTGCATTATATCTTTCACTAAATTGGGGAAGTTTTTGTCATTTTTTCTTCAAATATTTTTTAGCAGTGTACTCATTCTCCTCTTCTTCTGGACTCCAATGACGCCAATCTTAGACTTTTCATCATTGTACCACAGGTTATGTCCTTGAGGCTATATATATTTTTTTAATCATTTTTTTCAGGGCGCCTGGGTGGCTCAGTCATTAAGCATCTGCCTTCGGCTCAGGTCATGATCTCAGGGTCCTGGGATCGAGCTCCGCATTGGGCTCCCTACTCGGTGGGAAGCCTGCTTCTCCCTTTCCCACTCTCGCTATGTCTCTCTCTGTCAAATGAATAAATTAAATCTTTTTAAAAAATCAAATCAAATCAAATCATTTTTTCCCTCTGTTATTCAGATTGGATACTCTCTATTGACCTATCTTCAAAGTCACTGACTTTTCTCCTTCTCTTCCCAGTCTGCTACTGAGATAGTATTTTGGTTATTGTATTTTTCAGTTCTAAAATACCCATTTGGTTCTTTTTATATCTACCATTTATTTACTGAGACTTTTTACTTTTCTATTGGTTTCTAGAGTATCTGTGATTGATCACTGGAGCAGTTTTATAACAGCTTCTGTAAAGTCTTTGTCAGATCATTCTGACATCTGTGTCATCTTGGTGTTAACATCTCTTGATTTTCTTTTCCCATGCAAGTTGAGATTTTTCTGGTTCTTTGAATACCAAGTAATTTTGGGTTGTATTCTGGCAACTTTGAAGATTATGCTATGAAATTCTGGGTCTTATTTAAATTTCACAAAGAATGTTATTATTTTTGTTTTAGCAGATAATCAATACAGTTAGGTTCAGGCCACTAGTTTCAATATGCTTTCAGTGGGCTGTGGTTCCTATGTTGTTTCAGTTCTCAAATCCTTTGCAGTGCTGTTTGGATCTGTTTCATGTGTATGCCACCCAGGGGCCAGTCCGTGATCTGAGTAGTAGTCTATCTTAGTTCATTTCCCAAAGTATTTAGTATGCTGGTTGGGATCAGATCCACAGGTCTGCCGCTTAAAGGTGAGCTTAGGAGTTCAAACACAACATTATGGCATGGTTTCCCTGTGCTTCCCTCTGCCTCTCCAGGATCTCCCCAGTACTTTCTGTTTCTATGGGACTTCTATTTCCAGTCTGCAGACAGGAAGCTGGGGCTTTAATTGCCCCATTCTGCCACACGCTTCTCCAAGTGCACCCCTGTCTGGAGCCAAGAAATTGGAGAACAGAGAGAAAAAGAAAGCAACAGGATTTGGCCCCAACTTCTTGGGACCACAGTGCCACTGATTGGACAGGGATGCTTTATTTCTTCAGGGTCTTGGCAGTTGCAGGCTCCATTTGTCACCATTGCAGGATTGCTTGTAGGCTGGATTGTCAGAGAAAAAAGAAAAAAATGGGGGATTTCACACTTTCCCTGAACATTAACAATTCCCATTCCTTCCAGTCAAGTCAGAAATAAAGGGCTCCTCGTGGAGATGTTTCTGTCTTCAACCTATGCCTACTTCAGAATTTTAGGCTGTGTTGAGTTCAGGCTGAGGGATACTGAAGGGGGGAGAAAAGGGCAAAATCACTGTCAGGTTGGTAGTACTATTAATTCTGGTCTTCCCCATCCCACCTGCTACTATTTACTTTTTAGACTCTTGTAATAGTTGTTTTAAGCATTTTTCCAGGCTTTATGCTACATTCAGTGGGAGAGATGGGGTGGGTTGCACTTATTTTATCTAATCCAGAACCATAAAACCAAACAAAATTTCATGTCCAGATTGTTTTACTGGAGAGTTTTACCAAGCCAATGATTTCATTCAAAGAGCAAATGATTTCATTCTTTTTTTTTTTTTAAAGATTTTATTTATTTATTTGACAGAGAGAGACACAGCGAGAGAGGGAACACAAGCAGGGGGAGTGGGAGAGGGAGAAGCAGGCTCCCCGCAGAGCAGGGAGCCCGATGCGGGACTCGATCCCAGGACCCTGGTATCATGACCTGAGCTGAAGGCAGTCGCTTAACCAACTGAGCCACCCAGGCGCCCAAATGATTTCATTCTTAATAAAGTTAATACATAGTGTAGAGAAGGGGCTTCACTCCCCAACTCACTTTTTTGAGATTAAGCTCATATGAAAATCTGATACAGACAGGAGGAGAAAGAAAATTATAGGCTAATTTAACTCATCAACATAAAGGTAAAACTTTAAAACCAACTACTAGCAAACAGAATTCATCAAGATGTAAGAAAGATAATACATAGTGGCCAAAGGGAGTTTTCCAGGAATGCAACGTTAGTTTAAAATTAGGAAAGCAATCACTAAAATTTACTATTAACAGATAAAAATTAAAAACATGATTATCTCAATATATGCATACAAATATTTGATAAATTCAATAACTATTCATCATACTAATAGTGAGTCCTTAAAAGCTTTCACATTAAGATCAGTAACAAGATAAGGGTGCCCATCTACTGTATCGGAGGTGTCCCTAAATACAAAAAAAAAAAAAAGGCAAAAATAGTATAAGAATTGAAAAAGAAAGTACAAATGATCATTATTCACAGATAAGTGATGCCTGATGGACGTAAGAGCCCCCTCTACAGTCCCTATGATTTGTGGGAAGGACAGGGAGAATTTGGGAGCCATCTCTGACAAAGGAAAGAAACAAAGATAGTAGCAGCAGGAAGAGGGGAGAATTATCTTCCTTAGTTTTTTGAAAACTGATATTGGACTGCATTTTCTGCCCAATGTTTGTATGTGAATATATACATGTATATATACATATATATGTAGATGACAAGAGCACAGAACAATCCTAAAGAAAATATTACCACACTAACAAAATTATATTTATTTTTTCATGCCTTTTTCAGTCTTCATGGCTTATGCCTAGTTTATACTTCGTTGTCGGGAAAGGCAGTCCATCAAAGGTTGAGCTCCTTGAAGGTTCCTGCCAAGTATGCCAAGAATGCTTGAATGCTCTTTGTCTGGGCTATTTCTCGGGGTTATATTTGCAGTGGGCAGCCTCAGTGGATGAGTTAATATCTCTCCCCAGGAAAGAGCAAGCTTGTTTCTGCTTTCTGTAAAAGCAGTGAATCCCCCAAGCTCAGTTTTCTTTTCCCAAATTGCAATCCTCTGGTTGTGAAGGCATCCATGAAGGGTCTTTTGCATTGCGTTCATGGGACTTGGGTGGCATGGGGAACCAACACAAAATAATATGATAAGCTCTACCTGCTGCTTTTGCTATGAGTAATGAATGAAGTCCTTTGTCTCTGGTCCAGAAGTCTCATGTCTTCTGTCAGCATCCATGAAATAGGATGTAATAGACTAACTTGTTAGCTTATAAGTAGGGTAAAATCCTAGAACCTGCACAGCTCTTGACAATTATGTAGTCCTAGTTTACATATTTCTTGTGTGCAACACTTTCCATGACCAGGTTTTATAGGTTGTGCATAACAACACATAATTTTTCTGTTAAGTGTATAATGTTACATCAAAGTGATACAACGTAATTTGCTTAATCAAACCCATATTTATGATTCTTTTCATTTAAAAAAATCTATAACTTAGTGATTTTTAAAATAATTTCTTAGGATAAATTCTCAAGAATGAAGTTAAAATATTAACTGTAATGAATATTTTCTTCATAAATTGTCCCATTACTTCCTGAAAGAAAAAAATAGTAATAGAAGAAAATATAGCCTACCACAGACTCATTTCAGACCTAAAGACAGTGGCAGATTGAAAGTGAGGGGGTGGAGAAACATTTATAATGCAAATGGATGTCAAAAGAAAGTTACAGTGGCAATACTTAGACAAACTGGACATTTTTGTTTTTGTTCTTGTATTGTTTTTATCCTGCTTTGGTATCAGGGTAGTACTGGCCTCATGGAATGATTTTGAATGAGTTCTCTCTATTCCATTATCTGTAAGATTTTGATAAAAACTATCGTTAATTATTTTTTTAGTGTGGTAGAATTCACCATTGAAACCATGAGGTCCTGGGCTTTTCTGTGCTGGGAGATTTTTGATTCCTAATTCAACTTTGTTATTGAATTGTTTGTTATTGGTCTAAGAAGATTTCCTATTTCTTGGATTCCAGGTCCATGATTTAAACTTGGTAACTTTGTTTTTAGGATTATCTGGGTTTTTTTCCTAAGTTATCTGAATTGTTAGTATATAATTGTTTATATTTCTGTGGTATCTTTTGTATTGTTTTCCATTTCTCATTTTGGTTTTTGAGTCTTCTCTCTTTTTTTTCTTAGTTTAGTTAAAGCATTGCCAATTTTATTTTTTGGGAAAAACTAGTCATAACTTTCAGTGCTATGTCATTGTTTATTCTGTTCTCTATTTTATTTATTTCTGATTTTTGTCATTTTCTTCCTCTACTAAATTTCAGCTAAGTTTCTTCTTTTTCTAGTTCTTGCAGTGTCATGTTAAGTTGTTTATTTGAAATTTTTTTCTTAATACAAGCATTGATAGCATAAATTTCACTATAACATCTGCTTTTGCTGCCTCCCAAAGATTTTAGAATACTGTGTTTTCTTTTCTTTTGTTCTGAGACATATTTTGATTTGCTGTTTGATTTCTTATTTGGCCCATTGCTTGTGCAGTAGTGTGTTGTTTAATATTTACACATTAAATATTTACATCATAGTTTTTCCAGCTTTGTTTTATTGTTGATCTTTACTTCTGTACCATTGTGGTCAGAAAATATACTAGGTATGATTTCAAAAAGAAGAAGGAGAAGGAGAAGGAGGAGGAGGAGGAGGAGGAGGAAGAGGAGAAGAAGAAGAAGAAGAAGAAGAAGAAGAAGAAGAAGAAGAAGAAGAAGAAGAAGAAGAAGAAGAAGAAAGAAGAAGAAGAAGAAGGAGAAAGAAGAAGAAGGAGAAAGAAGAAGGAGAAAGAAGAAGAAGGAGAAAGAAGAAGGAGAAAGAAGAAGAAGGAGAAAGAAGAAGAAGGAGAAAGAAGAAGAAGGAGAAAGAAGAAGAAGGAGAAAGAAGAAGGAGAAAGAAGAAAGAAGAAGAAGGAGAAAGAAGAAGAAGGAGAAAGAAGAAGAAGGAGAAGAAGAAGAAAATACAGCTCTATGATTAATAATAATCGTAAGTGGAGAATACGTTCCATAAAAGCACAAATTGTATCACAGGGATTTGAATCCGGGTATCTTCAGAGTAGCTTTTGAAGACTTAGAAAGACTTGATTTTGTAAAATATTAAACATACCAATTCATGAGAGCTATTTACCATTTGGGTTACTTACTTATTATGAAACCTTTCTGCACATTATTAAATATAGCATCTGGGTCTAATCAGGAGATAGAGAGCACACAGTAGGGCAAACAGGAGCTTAATATAAAGAATTGTGAACTCTGATAAAAGAGTGAACATAAAATCGAAGACAACTCTGTAAGGTTCCTTTGGGCTGGGAGAGAGTGCCACAGAGAGACACATAGTGCTTGGGTTCAGACCTGTTGGGGAAAGTATGGCTCAGTCCCCACATGGCAAAGAAATTCACTGCTTTGCTCTCGCTGGAGCTGAACTGGAGTTGCTGGGAGAGCAACAGGCCATCCTGGGGGTGCAGGCAAATGGGCAGCATCTGCAAAAGGGGCCTCTGTTTTCCCTGCAGAGGGGACTGTGCTCGGGGTCTGCCCGGCCAAGGCTGCAAGTTGGCAGTGTGTCTGGTCTGTGGCTGGGCCCGCTACACAGGGGTCCTGACGCCACACCATGGGCCGCGGCCCTCACAATAAAGCACCTCAGAGCCTCTTCCTCTGTCCTGGCCAGAGCCCTCCACCAAGGAAGCTTAACATCATGCTTGCTCCAGAGGAGAAATGCTTAAGGGACTTATGTTCATCCTGCAGCAAATATGAGAGGTGGCATTTGGGGCCAAGAGGTAATAACTTGATGATGGGCACATTAAGTCTATTCAGCCAACTTTTCTGTAAGTTTTATTTAACTACAGTCCCATCTGACTTCAGTGGGCTGAGTGGACTGCGTGTTACTTTCCGAAGTCCCAAGGAGGTGGGCAGAGGGTGGGCTCTTCCTCCCCCGAGCCTGCCAGCCTCCGGGCCCCCAGTGCTACCGCCGCTTGCCTTCCTTTGACGCAACCTCGGGAGCAACACTCCTCTGAGGCGGGAAGACCTCAGCTCCACGGAAGAGCGGCACACAGTGCTGAAGTCAGTCCGAAAATAACTGCTGAGCGGGCGCCTGGGGGGTTAAGCATCGGACTCTTGGTTTCGCTCAGGTCATGATCGCAGGGTCCTGAGATCAAGCCCCGCATCAGGCTCTGTGCTCAGCGGGAAGCCTGCTTCAGATTCTCTCCCTCCTTCTCCTACTGACCCTCCCCCTGCTTGCACTCTCTCTAAAATAAATAAATAAATAAAATCTAAAAAAAAAAGAAAGAAAAGACAAGAGAAGAACTGGTTAGAAGCTGCCCCCTCACAAGTCCTCTGAGAAACACCCCAAAGCCTTTCCAGAAGGATTGGCAGTTAGCTAAAAACAAACTCCCCCTCAGTGTAAGGTCAAAACATGCTGGATATACAATTTTTCCTGTAAGTAACGCACCTGTAAATAAGGCAATTTTGATTTCTGTAAGTAATGTAAGCAACTTTGTAAGTAAACAACTGTGTAAGTAAGCAAAGTAAGTAAGCAATTTTGATTTCTGTAAAGCAATTTTCCTGTAAGGCAGTTTTCATTTCTGATTGTGACAGGGACAAATCCTGGTGTCAGCATTAGTAAGGAGAGAAGCCAGTTCCTGTGGTGAAGAGCCTAAAGCGCCCTCACTCTGCATGAGTTTCAGTCCGTAGAACCATTAACCCACCTCCTTTCTAAGCAGGCACGTTCTGCGCCGACAAAGAACGCCTCTCTTCTGCCCTGTGTTCTGTAAGACCATCCTTCATGAAAGCAATTCTAGGATAAGTGCACTTTGCTTTAGACACCCTGAGACACCGGACTCTCCTTGGTATCCACCACCTGCGTCGCAACTTCATCCACACAGCGGAAAGCAGAGTGCAGAAGGTTTGCCTTCGACTCCATCCAAAAGGATTCAGTGAGTCAGCTCTCGGGGGGCCTCGTTAGGAGGCACGGTTCAGCCTCAAGCTTTTTCACACAGCCAGAGAGAGAACAATTAGGGCAAGACAGCCTATCATCCCCCAAGCCTGGTTTTCTCTCTCTGTTCACAATCAGCTCTTTTTTTTTTTTTTTTAAGATTTTATTTATTTGACAGAGATAGCGAGAGCAGGAACACAAGCAGGGGGAGTGGGAGAGGGAGAAGCAGGCTCCCCACCAAGCAGGGAGCCCGAAGCGGGGCTCGATCCCAGGACCCTGGGATCCTGACCTGAGCCGAAGGCAGACGCTTAACGACTGAGCCACCCAGGCACCTCCTCAATCAGCTCTTACTAACTAATGATTGATCATTAAGGGCCCAGTGGCTGCCACTTTGCTGCGGCAGGTGGGGCAGGAAGTGGAGGAAGGTCGGATGCAGGGACTCACAGCTGTACGAGAGAATCCCAGGGCTTAAATCCCTGCAGGAATCACAGGGAGTGACGCTAGTTTCCCCCGGGTCCTGCTTGGGTGGACATCTCTGCTGCTCCTTTCGTGATGAATCAACAGAAGGCTAATTTATCCTCAGAAAAAGTAATAATTGGGTGAAGAGCAGAAGTGACATCCAATAGGCTCGATAACAACCCTGGAGGGCAAATCCAAATCAGTGTCCTCCAAGGACAGAGACAAATGTGACATTCCCTGCCACGTGTCATAGTTATTTGTGTATGAGTCTGTGCCCCTCTAGTTTAACAATTCATTTAGAATGTGGCCTGTGTTGTCCCCATCTGTAGGCTCTTAAGGTACGGCATTGCACATAACTGCTTGATAAACATTTATGGAATAAAAAATAAACATATCTAATAGATTGGAGGTTTGACTTGATAAGATGAAAAAAAAAACTTTAGGAAATCTAAATTTTCATGGAACTTCTAACCCAAGTATTCCTGAGCACAAACCTGAAGGAAGTCAGATTGACAGCATTTTGGTAGCTCGAAAGAAAATCTTTCACAAGCATCCTGTCCAACCAGCCCTTGAGGACAGCTGGTGCGCTGAACCAGCACCGAGGGCCCCAGCCATGGCAACACCAAAGAGACACAGTGAACCAAACAGAAATGAACCCTTGAGTTTGGTGGGAAACCCTGGACACAGCTCATCTTTATTCTATCTAAACATGAACTGATAATTACTCAGAATCAATCCAGCCAACCTCTTTCACCAAGCAGATCAGACAGGTTTAACATAAATTGGGCTATTTTCCTCCTCCTGTCCTATGGGGGCCGTGTCCTATGTGGTCATAGTAATGTGATCCCCTTGCAAAAGCCTCTTTATATGGTGTTCAAGGACGACTGTGGGTAGTTATGCTGGGCACTGGCTCTGTAAGGTCCGTTCTCTGCTCAAGCACAGGACAAATCAAGGGTCCAGTGAAGGGAGAGCCCATGACAGAGTACAAAACTGTCTTTCCCTTTTCTATTCCTGGAATAATATGTTGCTGACCATCCTGGACTTGATCTGAGTAAGGTTCTAAAGTGTTATGGTTTTGACCCATGCTAAAGGCAATGTTCCTATACTGTGTTTATATACTTGTATGAGACTTTTTTGTATGCCCACAGAGGCCTCCACCTAAGTGTTTACACTGCCCAGCCTACAGCTTTGATCCTGGGAGCAGGCCAGGCACACCTCTGTTTGCGGGTGAGGGCCATGGATCTGAACATATCTCAGAGTTCATCTGCAGTGAGGAAGGCCGTGCGGCACAAAGGTTAGGAGCCTGCACTCTTTGGCAGCAGATCTGGGCTGTGATCCCAGCTCCGAAACTCATTAACTAGGCCGTTTTCTTTCTCTCCAGCATGGATCCCCCACCCCCCACCTTTTACAGGAATACTACTAATGGTACCTACTTGTTGTGCGGATTAAATGCCACACTTCTATAAAGTCTGTTGCCCAGTGAGCAACACCGAGTAAGCATTCTATAAACTTTAGCCATGGTTATGGTCAGTGTTCAATGAAAAAATGAGCTTACCTTCTGGGCTAGGTGTCCAGGAACAGTCTGGGAGTGAAGCTGGAAGGCACCCATGCATCCAGTGTAAGAGGACAGAGTCCGGAGGCTCACTCCAGGACCTGACACCAGAGGGAAGCAAACGCACAGCCTGCTGTCTCTGCCCGCTCCAGTCGCGACCACAGTACTCGGGAGCATCAAATGGTCAGGTCTAGGAGCTTCACTCTGTGTCAGTGTGGATCCAGAGGGTCTTGGGAGCCCCAATCACTTTCTGCAGACATAGGCACACAGTGCTTGAGGACCCTGCGGTACCCAGTTAGCGGCGTCACCACTCGGAACCGGCCAAGCCATGTGATTAGAATCAATACTTTGGGAAAGTGTTGACTCACTCAGACCCCCGATCAATTTGTGAACCATGTTAAAACCAAACAAAAGAAGAGCATGTGACAATCATCAGCGTAAACAAAGACAATGAGGATTTTCCTTCAATTCTCCAGACTTGTCAGGTGGATTGCTTGTTGTGAACCTAAGTGACCTTGATAATCTCGTCTTGGCAATGGCAGGTCCAAGCTGGCCGGCAGCCTGGCCCACAGAAGGAGCAGGGATGACATGAGGAGAACGTCCTGGAGCCACCACCGGGGACAAAGGGCCCTCAAGCCATACTGAGCCTGGAGCCTCGGCATTTACAATTTGTGCTCCGTGCAGTTCTGGCTGCAGCAGTCAGATGTGTGATGTGAGTGCCATTCCCTGGTGCCCTTTGCTAAGTCTGTGTGTGGCACTTACACCCCCTGCATTCTGAAGATACCTGGCTTATGCGATATTAAGAAATATTAAACATATTAGGGGGCGCCTGGGTGGCTCAGTCAGTTAAGCGTCTGCCTTTGGCTCGGGTCATGATCCCAGGGTCCTTGGGATCGAGTACCGCGTCGGGTTCTCTGTTCAGCAGGGAGTCTGCTTCTCTCTCTCCCTCTGCCTGTTGCTTCCCCTGCTTGTGCTCTCTCTAATAAATAAAATCTTTAAAAAAAAAAAAAAAGAAATATTAAACATATTAAATAGGAGAAAAAACAAACTTGAAATATCACCAGAATTGGCTTCCTGAATCTTCTCTTGCTCCTCAATCATATCTCTGACCAGAGACCTCTTCTTATAGCCTCCATCTGCTTCAACTCATACTTGAAGACTCTGGGGCTGCAGAGAGATCTTGGGGAGAAATATGCCACACCTAGGTCTTCTCACTCCCGAGCTCAGCCGGCAGCTCATGCAAATCAGAGATCATCCCCAGCAGACAGGGTTAGAAATATTCCTGTCTCTTTTTGATTCTACATGCATTCATTCTTTGGAGTTCTAGTATGCGCTGGGCACCATGGGGTTTCCAATCCTGGTTCCCATTTTCATGAGGTGCACAGTGTGTGAGGGGGAACAAATGGATAAAAGGAACCAAAATATATGGAACAATGTGGGGAAAAAAGATGCTACCTGCTCAACCAGTTATAACTGTCTAATCAACCCTGGAAAACCGAGATTTCAGCCAGAATCATTCAGAATTAATAATCAAAACCCAAGGCAATAATATGTGTATTTAAGTAGTACAGCAAGTCTGGGAGGGTGGAGAGATTAGCTCCACTTAGGGTGGGTCAGGAAGACTTCCCAGACAGGGCGTTCTTGAATGGAATTTTGAAGGATGCCTACGCTTTTCCAGAGAGGAGAGTCCAAGAGATGGCAGGGACAAGATCACTGTGGGCAAAGCGTTTGTGTTGAGAACACTCTGCTGGAGTGTGAGGTCTGTGTGTGCCAGGGCTAGGCTCTGCCTGAGTTTGTGGCAGCCACGGGATGGGTAGGGAGCTGTGACAAGAAAGCAGACCAGGGGTCGGTAGGGCTCTATCAATAAAGTCTTGCACTTTCTTCTGGAAGCAAAGGGCAACAATGAAAGGCGTTTAAGCTGGAAGGTTAACTTAGAGCATGATCAGATTTGTGTTTTAGAGACATCCTTTGGTAGCAATGTAGAAAAGGGCAAGGTGGGAGGTCTGGCAACCAGTTCAGAGATGACTATATAATAAAAAATTCCAGGGCAGCATGTGGCCCAGCCTTATGAAACCTGAGGGTCTCATATTCTAAGAAACAACAATAAAAAGCAATTCCAGTCTTCCCTTGTGCTTCCAAAACTGCTAAAGGGAATAGCAACACAACTTGGCAGTTCTTTCTCTTCAGCAATCCACACTCCCTAAAGGTGAGCGCCTGGAGAGCAGGGATTCTATCTTGCTTATTCTTGCATCCGTAGTTTTTAGAATAGTATTTGGAGCTTCACAGATACTGTGTGAGTAGTTTTTGACTCCACTGTGGAGTTTCTCATACTCCAAAGCCAGCTCTTCCCACCCTCAGCCCCTGGGGCCTATCTCCTTCTTCCCATTTCCTCTCTTGGCACCTCACAAGCCTGGGCACTCACCTGGCAGTCTGCTCTGCATGGAGGCTGGTATAAAGCTCTGGGGATAAAGATGAGAGCCTTTTATGGAAAAGAGGCTGAGAACACTTAAATATGAATGACTTGTGCATCTGTCCCAGGAGGGATATTCCAGGTGAGAGGTGATAAGGACCTGAACCCAGGCGCTAGTAATGGGAGGAACGCAAGGATGGCTAGGACCCATGATGTTACAGAGAAGTGTCCACAGAACTGCCTCCCTGTAGACTAGAGAGCTGGAATGTCATCATGACTGAAAGGAGGACTACTTTGATTTGTTCCCTGAACATGCATGTGGGCTCCAAAGTTAGTAAGTTATCCACCCTGAACCTGAGCATACTACACGTCAGAGAGCATACTACACTAAATGCCTTTGGCATAAAAACATTTTTTAAATCATGTGCATAACCCCCATTAGCTCACCGTGATCTATGTCTTACAGATGGAGAAACTGAGGCACTGAGAAGATAGGTGCTTGCCTGATGTCAGGGTTAGTGGCAGAACTGGGACTCAGACACAAATCTGTACAGTGTTGGAGATCAAACCACTAGGCTACAGTGTATGTAAGAGTTTTCAAATACTGGGGCACCTGGGTGGTGCAACTGACTCTTGGTTTCAGCTCAGGTCATGATCTCCGGGTTGTGAGCCTGAGGCCTGCATCGGGCTCCATGCTCAGCATGGAGTCTGCTTGAGATTCTCTCTCCCTCTCCCTCTACCCTTTCCCCTGTTCTTGCTCTCTCTCTGCAATAAATAAAGCTTTAAAAAAAAGTTTTTAAATACTGATTTGTCTTGAGGGAAGAAAAATTAGCATCTGTCCTGGTGTCCTAATTGTTTTTAAACTTTACTTGCCACCTCTCTCTCTGTCTCTCAGCCTACTATTGTTTGGGTGGAAAAGAGAGGGAAAGAATGATGGTGTATAAGAGCATATTTATGAGAAAACCTCTCAGTATAATTATTTTTGGTAACTTACGACTTATTATCTAGTGATATCAGATAATGTAGTAATCAATCAAAAATATTTTGTACACTTATTCTATTTAGATATCTATACTGGACATTGAAAGACTCTTTGAGAAAAGCAAAAACCAATACAAATTTTGGGGCCAAATGGGACTCGTAGAGTCTAGTAATGTTGACTAACTTCTCAGGCTCGTAAGCTCATCTGGTTATCTCTTGGGCAGTGGCTCAAAAGGCTCATTTGTCTGCCCTCGGACTATGGGTGTCTGTTGGTAACTTTGACATGTTAAGGGGGTACCATTAGTTCCTTCCCCTAAACCCCATTCCTGGTCCTTATGTTGGCATTCAATATATGGCCATAGTTGATTTCCTATGAAGAAAAAAAGGTAACCTTTGAATAGGGGATTAAAACATTGATCTAGTAGCTCACCAGCAATATCTTTCCTTGTGACCTTCAGCTCAAAAGCCACAGCATACGGATCAGAAACAGCGATGAAGTAGCCCTGCTTGCTGAGTTCATCCACTGCCACTTTTTCAAGGCTCCATTGAAAGACCTGGGTTCTTGGTGCACAGAGATGGTGAGCACTTTCCTTTTTTCCTACTTTTTTTGAAGTACAGCTGACACACCATGTTACATTAGTTTCAGATGTACAGCATAGTGATTCCACAACTCTCTATGTCGTGCTGTGTAGCAACCATGTTACCGCACCTTGCTATTAAATACCATGTTCTCTATTCCCTGGGCTGCACCTTTTATCCCTGTCATTTACTTCCCCAGGTGAGCACTTTCTCACCTAAATCTGAAGAAGAAAATAAAACTTTCTGGGAAAAAAAATTCTTCTTGGCCATGATTCAAGGAAGAAGAAAACCATTAGCAAATACTGTATTTAAGTGCATCACCATATTCAAAGCAGAGAAGTAAGGTTTTTAGTGCATACTTCTTAAAAAGAGTGATCATTTTATATTGTTTAAAGTGGTAATTTGCAAGGTTCACTTTCACTGGATTTTACAATTAGAAAATAGAGTGGAATAAATCATGTCTTATCAGGATGAAGCAAGCAAACTTTATTAAAAGTCTCATATAATTTGGTTATTTTGGGTGAGAGATTTTAACCCTGTTCTTGGAAAAATAAATGGAGTTCATGCTCTATGCTGAATGACAGGGGCTCTAACATTTTGCCTTTAGCCATGACCACACCCTGATAAATATCAATCTGATTGTAAGAACGGAGTTATGTTTTCTTCTCCAAGCCCACACTCAAACCACCGTGGAAAGAACTGACCTAAGATTCAGCAAGCCTGAGACTGATTCTGCTTTGGGTGGTGATACAGGCAGCAGAGAGGAATCCAAACTGGTGATGGCTCACATGCTCTGCTTATGTCCTGCACCTCACCACCCCTGGTACAGAGCACTAGCATTTCAGAAGTCCCTGTGAGACTCTTCATCCTTCTGGAAGGCGAAAATGGCAGACGCTTTCTGTGCGGGATGGGTTGCAACAAAGGCCGAACACTAAAGTGTGAGCCAGAGCAACTACAATTAAAATAATAAATCCCTGATTTTGTAGGATTTGTTCAGGCCCTAAAAAGGGAATATATACGTAATGCTAAAATTATCAGCTTCAGGCCATTCTCCGAAGAATAGGAATTTGTCCTTTTTTTTTTTTTTTTTCCCGTGAAGATTTTATGGCTCCAATTTGGATATTGCGAAAAGGAGGAACCTCTGTTAGCTGTGAATTATCCGCCTGCCCTAACCCCTCATTTCCCGACGTGGCCCTTCCCAGCCAAGGAGGAGCCAAGAAAGGTCGGCCGTGCTGCAGCTGCTGCCCGAGCCCACGCAGAGGTGCTGGAGAGAGCCAGCCCTACCTCAAATGCACCTGGCTAGAGTCATCTGCCTGCACCAGCTTGGCACACCAAGCCTTCATTTTCTTCCAGTTAACCCATGGGTCCCTAAATGCCCTTATTAGTTAGGCTCCCCCCGCCCACTACCCTTACATTACACAAGAACCTTGGGGGTTTTCTCAGGGTTTTTGCTTCCAAACCTTGAGACGTGAGAGACTTGGAAAGTCAGCTCTGTCCACCAGCACTGGTGCTTCTGACCGTGATATTTTGGGGTCACTGCTGAGTTTATGACCTGCATGGCCTCACGGACATTTGTTCGCTGGGATGGTCATGTTCCTGGATGGTTCAGAGCATTCATGGTCCTCGGGTTCCCTGCAGTGGGCTCCTAAGGGACAACTCATTCAGCTTCCATTCCCTCAGCCACTGTCCCCAGTGCAGAGCATCCCGCCTGGGCAGTTGGCATCTACAACAATAAGGATTTAGATTACTTTACTATTATTACTTTTTAAAAACAAACGATTTCACATATGTAAAAGTAAGTGTTATATAAATATGACTTAAAGGGCAGTAAAATGAATAAGCAAGTAACTACCATCTAATTTAACAAACATTAATACACCTTTAAAGAACTTTTTGTCCCTTCCCATCATGACTATGCTGAATATTCCATTATAATTCTACCATTTCAGTATGTATCCCCAAATAATTTTTTATTTGGCATGTTTTTATACTTAGTTTAAGTGATATTTTGTGACTTTTTCCCCCAACTCGACTCATGATTATGAGATGTATACACCTTGATGTGGGTACCTATAGTTAATTATTTTTTAGTGGGTAGTAAAATGTGTAAATGCTCAGATTTACATGGTACATTTTCTAAAGTTGGCTGTTTTAATTTAGATTTTACTCTCTATATGTTATTTTTGTCAAGCATTTTAGTTCTATCTGCTTTTTAACCCTATGAGTCAGATAGTATGGTTATTGATTTTATAGTTATTGTTTGTCTAGATTAACCCAAGTTTGCCATTTTCCTTGCTCCCCATTTCCTATTGTATTTCAGGCCTTCCTTCCTTCTTTCTGAGTCATTGCACTTCTAAAAAAATGCAACTTTCAGAAATTCCTTTAGTAATGTCTGTTCACAACAAACTGTATTTTTTGATTTTGTGAAATGTCTTTATTTTACTCTAATAATGGAAATAGAGGTTTTGATTTATAGTTATCTTTTTTGCAATGTGTTGATGATACTATTTCATCATTTTCTGGTTTATGTTGCTGTTATTGGGAAATCAGTTGTCACTTAAGTTGTTGTTCCTTTATAGGTGATATGTCTGTTCTTTCCATTTTTCTTTTGTGTTAAGCAGTTTCATGATGCTATTCTGTGTATAGGTTTTCTTTTATTTAGCTTGCTTGAGACATGTGGTACTTATTAAATCAGAGGTACTAATATCCTTCATAAACTCTGGGACATTTGCAGATATTGTAGATTTTGAAATTATGATACTTCCCCATTTTCTCATTCAAGAAACCCAATTAAAAATATGGCAGGTCTTTTTACTCTCTTCTTTATGCCTAGTGAGTCTATCTTTCATCCTTTCCATTTCGTTCCTTATTTGTCCACATCTATCTTTTAGCTCACTAATTCTCTCTTCATCTATGTCTAATCTACTGTTTAACCTCCACTGATTTTTCAAATCTATCTGGTCACTTTTGAATGTCTCTTCTATATCGTTCAGTGTTTGATTCCATTTTTACTTCTTTAAAGGTTTTACACTGGGACACCTGGGTGGCTCAGTCGGTTAAGCTTCTGCCTTCAGCTCAGGTCATGATCCCAGGGTCCTGGGATCGAGTCCTACATCGGACTCCTTGCTCATCGGGGAGCCTGCTTCTTTGTCTGCTGCTCCCCCTGCTTGTGCCCGCACTCTCTCTCTCTCTCTCTGACAAATAAATAAAATCTTTAAAAAATAAAAAAAATTAAGATTTATACTTCGTTATTTTGCATTATGTATCTCATAATGCTGATATTTGAAACTATGGGAGATAAAATCTATTGGTTGGTGTTTCTGCTTGTTCTCAGCCGTGGCATTTTGTTTCCTCGTGTGTCTGGCAATTTTGGGGGGCTTATACTAGGCTGATTGTAATCAGGGAGAATCCTGACAGGAGTGAGATGATGTTTTTTTGTTTTTCTCCAGGGCAAATTTATATTTACTTCTTCCCTAACTGAAGGTTCTCATCATTTCGGGCCACTTTATTTATATAGCTTTCCCCTACTCTGTAAATGTGGGTAGATTAAATTCCATTCCCAAATCCTATAGTACAAGAGAGTTGTTTTTTTTCAGCCCAGAGCTGAGATGGAGATAGACAGGTTAGCCCCCTGTCTCCCGTTAAAGGCAGATGTCATCTTCTTTTTTTTTTTTTTTTTTTAAGATTTTATTTATTTATTTGAGACAGAGAGAATGAGAGAGAGAGAGCACATGAGAGGGAGGAGGGTCAGAGGGAGAAGCAGGCTCCCTGCCAAGCAGGGAGCCCAATGTGGGACTCGATCCCGGGACTCCAGGATCAGGACCTGAGCCGAAAGCAGTCGCTTAACCAACTGAGCCACCCAGGCGCCCGGCAGATGTCATCTTCTACCCACCGTCTCACAAGTGGCCCCATTTATGTAAGGTCTCAGCACAGCTGCCCAGGTTGCACAGACCCAACTCTGGTCTCTTGCTCCTTCTCGCTAGGGTACTGCAATCAGCATTTGACCCTGAGATAGCCTAAGGCTCTGCATTTGTTCATCATCCTGCTATCAGCAACTAGTTGGTTTTTTTGTTGCTGTGGGGCAAGATTGGTGGGTGGGGGTAGGGAGAGAAAGGGCTGGGGATACACTTGAACATTTCCCTTAGTCTCTGACAATCTCAGTAATGCATTTAAAAGTGTGTTTGTTGTATCACTCAGCATCAGGGAAATACAAATCAAAACCACAATGAGATACCACCTCACACCAGTCAGAATGGCTAAAAATTAACAAATCAGGAAACGACAGATGTTGGCAGGGATGCAGAGAAAGGGGAACCCTCCTACATATTGGTGGGAATGCGAGTAGGTGCAGCCACTCTGGAAAACAGTATGGAGGTTCCTCAAAAAGTTGAAAATAGAGCCACTGTATGACCCAGCAATTGCACTACTGGGTATTTACCCCAAAGATACAGATGTAGTGAAAAGAAGGGGCACCTGCACCCCAATGTTTATAGCAGCAACGTCCACAATAGCCAAACTATGGAAAGAGCCTAGATGTCCATCAACAGATGAATGGATGAAGAAGATGTGGTGTATATGTACCACGGAATATTATGCAGCCATCAAAAAATGAAATCTTGCCATTTGCAACAACATGGATGGAACTAGAGGGTATTATGCTAAACGAAATAAGTCAATCAGAGAAAGACATGTATCATATGATCTCACTGATATGTGGAATTTAAGACACAAGGCAGAGGATCATCGGGGAAGAGAGGAAAAAATGAAACAAGATGAAACCAGAGAGGGAGACAAACCATAAGAGACTCTTAATCTTGGGAAACAAACTGAGGGTTGCTGAAGGGGAGGGGGGTGGTGGATGGGGGAACTAAGTGATGGATATTGGGGATAGTATGTGTTGTAGTGAGCACTGGGTGTTATATAAGACTGATGAATCACAGACCTGTACCCCTACAACCAATAATACATTATATGTTAATTGAATTTAGATTTTTTAAAA